GGAATCTCTGACATCTTGTTCCCGCACTTCTGCTCACCAACGAAATCACCTCCTCTGTATCCTAGGTAGGATGCACAACAAATACCAAATGCTACATGTACTTTTTGATCAATGCATAGAAAAGTAAGGGTACATATTATACGGTAAAAGGTCAGCAGAAATCCACACAGAACACTGACAGTAACTGCAACATAAACTGAATGGAAAATGTTTTTCTGGGCTTACAGGGTCAGTGCTGAGGCAAGTATAATGCACAAAACAAGTCACACAAACAACGCTGAACACACACTCACGCCCATAGAGATTATACAATGCAAAACACACCTTCAGAATAGCTGGTGTGGTAACTGCGCGGGGTTTCAAGTTCTCCTCAGAGTCACCTTTTAGAGATCTTGAAGTTATACGAGGTTTGATGCTTCGGAAGATGGTGATGATGAGGATGTTGATTGGAAACATGAGAAGACCACTCTCTATCCCAACCATGAGCTCCTGCCAGGTGATTTGCAATGAACCTTGAGAGAGGAAAACAAAAACAAAACAAGGACACATTGTCGTGATGAGAAGTAACTGAAATAAGGCCCAGCCAGGATCATTCAATCACCGAGAAGTCAGCACATTGGTTTAATGGCTCTACTCAACCGTCTCGTAAAAAATCTAAAACTAAAACTAGCTGGTAAATACTGTGAAGCATTTGGCAGCTAAAGGCAAGAAAACTACTTGCACCACCTCCAGGCAATGAGTACCAATTTATATTCCAATTGTTTTGGTAAGTGGAGCATTTTTCTACTAAATGCTGAGCTTTAACAGTTCTCTGTGTGTCATTGTATGTCCTCTGTCCTCCTGGACTTTTGGTTAGAGGGTTGAGAGGATAGATTTTATTTGTGAAAAAGTGGCGGTAGGAGGCAAAAGCAAAGTAATTAAAGTGATTAAAGGGAAGATTTCTCAACGCAAGGTTGCAGAGAATTTAGGTTTTTCAGATCATAGTACATAATATTGGGAAAAGATTCAGGGAATTTGGAGACATCTCAGTGCGTAAATGGCTATGTCAGAAACCACTGTTGAAATAGATGTGTACAGCTGTCCTTATTTCAGAAATGGTAGGGGCGCCAAATTGCACAGAAAACCACATCTTACATGCTATTGCTTTAAAGGTCCAGTGTGTGTGTAATAATAGGAGGATCTATGAAATGCAATATAATATCCATAACTATGTTTTCAGTAGTGTATACGTAGACCTTACATAATGAACCATTATGGGTTTTTTAAAAATTAGACTGAGCCATTTCTATCAAAGTTCATCCCGGGTCCCTCAAATAGAAGTTTCATGTTGCACCACCATTCTTCTACAGTAGCCCAAACGGACAAACCGCTCTACAGAGAGCCTTTCTCCTACACGCTTGCAAAGGGAGGGGAGCAGTGAGTGAGTCGTTGGTTTCAATTTGCAACCCTCACCACTAGATACCACTAAAACGTACACACTGAACCTTTAACATCAATCCATTTTGCTAGAATAGCACAACATAGAGGATAATATTCCATTTACACGGTATGTATTATTTCATTTTAGCTAACAAGTAGCCCAGGTGTAAAATGTTAAATCTCAAACATACACACAGATTTCTACAATATATCAAGAGACAACCAGCAGCCACTTAATTGTTTCTAATAACACCTTCTGCTCCAGCTCGCATATTGACCTTTTGAACTTTCATCCAAAACTTTTAAAACCCAAAGAAAACCTCTCATATTACATTTTAGATATTTGGAAGTTTTTATGATGAATATAGTACATTTCTTACAAAACTGTGGGTTTGTTGTGTTAGTGACCTTATATTTTAGATACCAGTTTTAAAAGAATCATAGGCATCTTTTTCTAAAAGTAGAATGTTCACCAGTCCTTTTCAGATGCCTATAACACAATTATTATCAACCAACGATAACAATGATGAAATTAACATAAGAGTAGGTTTCCCTTTTGAATGAAACTTCGCTCTTCGGGTTGCAAAGCTAAGAAACTGCCAAATAATTGAAGACTCAGTTATCACCGATTCCAAAGACTACTGGCGAGGCCGGATCTGTAGGAAGGTTCCAGAAGGCGATATTGATGGCCATGGTGCAGAGGAGCAGACTCATGCAGCAAGACACCCTCTGGGCACGTGTGAACGGACTACGTGAGGGAGGATCCACTACGGACACCCAGATGTGTTCATCCCTAAAGCCAGTCGATGTTCTGGTATGGAAAATATTTCTGACAGAGAAAAACAAAAGCCAAAATGACACTAATCAATTAACATGACTTTCTTAAGAGCGTGTCGGAGTGTAAAGTGGTCCAACTCTGACCTGAAGCTGGCAATCTCGTTGTTCTTTGCAGCATTGAAAGTTTTTTTAGTCATGCCGTCTCCATGGTCAGCACTCAGCCAGCAGTCACAGAGGAAGTGCCACACGTGTCGTGTTTGGAGGTCTTGAACGGTCACCTTGTTTATACCTTTTTATAAATCAACAAAGATTACACATTTACCATATGTATAATTTTATATGAAAATGCAAACAATATATAATTTTAAGCTACACTAGGAAACTCTGCAAACTGGGAGCAAAAAGAGAGAATGTTATACCCATATTGTATATGGTGTATATTTTACTTCTAAGTTTCCCATTACCACTTCACTCTACACAGAAATTTCTTTCTTCTGAAGCCAATATTAGTATATTACTACAGTATATTGCCCAAAGCAATTTGTGGAATCCTTTATGACCAATCTTATTTCAATATGATACCATAGCTCAGATATATTCTCCCCCAAAGTGTGTGTGTATGCATGTATATATCATGCTCAGAGTATATAGAGAAGTAATTACTAGGTAGTGCCAAATGAGTGGCAGATTTGACATTTTAAAGTGTCACTGTGAAGAAGCCTGCAGAGAGGCCATAAACACTACCTGTACACAACTCTAACAACCCTGTTTACAGGTTTACACTGACACCCACAAATTATCCACATTTTCAGTGTTGAACTGAATCAACAACTATATAAGTGTCACATCAAGGTACAACCGTAATATGACATAAAGCTGCAAATAAACTTAAATTATCTGCATTATTAATTAAACTTTATCAATAACAGTTTCAAAACAAATTATGACCTTTTCAGATAGCTGCCATTCATAATTTAGGGAAATTGGCATTTCTGGATATTTTATGGCAACCGCTGTGTCCAGATCTGGATTAATTTCTATGTATGTAGTAGTAGGTATGTATGTAATATGCTCAGTCTCAGCCTCTAGTACCATGATGGGTGACCTCCAGAGTTGTCGTGCTGCAGCCTGATGTTTCGCACTTCGCCCAGTGGGAAGGGAGTGGCCAAAAGGAATATATCGACAGCGCCTCTCTCAAACACAGGCTTGTCGGGATCTGTGAGGTTGTGTGTGTTGCTCTCTCCCTCTGTGCCAGTCAGCTTCACTGTCACCTACAGGACCGCACATCATATTTATGCAACAGCACTAGTCTCTCACATCAGTGTCCTGAATCAAGATTGTGTGTTGTGCATAGTTTAGCTCATTAACTACAAACTGTGTATAAAATTGCGAACCTATGCTTTAGTAATTCTACCAAATTCACATTTCCCTTTTTATAATGGCTATGTGTGCTTGCTGCTTTCCTTGAGCAAACAGTCAGTGCTTTAAAACATCATAAATGTTTAGCATCACCTATATTGTAACTTGTCTGAATATTATGAAATCAAGCGTTGATCTGAAGAATACACAATTTGTTGCAAACAAGCTTAAACATACAGTATGGTTCTTTAAGCCAAGGTGTATGTTACCCGTAGTAAAATTATTATTCTATGAGCTATTACCTTTTAGAAATATAAAAAAAAAAACATTCTGTTAATGAAAGTATTCTTACATTTGTAGTCCCAGAATTCTTGCGATGGCCAGTATGGACACTGATCAGATAGTTGTACCCAGCACCCGGGTGATTGTCTTCCAGCAGAGTCACCTTCCTCTGATAGTTCAACATAAAACATTGTGGGTCATAAATATAAATGTACTGGCAGGAATTGCTTTATTCGGGCACTGGAATGAATATGAACAGTTTAGTTTCCAAACAAAATATCCACCATTAAAACAAAGGACATAACAGGAATGCTTAGAAATACTTCATAATTAAGAACATTTTTCTAATGTGGCCTGATGAGTTTCAGGTAGCTGAATTCCTACCTGGTGAAAACACATACAAAAAGAATTGGGCCCTTTTACCAAGATTATCAGAATTACACTGCTAAGAATTGATTTAAGAGTAAAAAAACATCTTGCCTCAGAGCTGCTTAAACTTATCCAGCATCAGTCCTACTTTGAGTGAAGTGTAGGACTAAATCTTAAGTGTCTGTCTTAGAGCTGATTCAGGACACTTTGCTGTGCTGCAAGCAGGATTTTGGATGACAATGTAGGCAAGGACCGATCACTGAATGGATTTCCTTATTTAAGAATATCCTCAGATAAATTCACATTGAATTACTATAAGTAATACTTATTGAAGGACCACACCCCTAAATGCATTGAAGCAACTGCCATGTGATTGGTTGATTAGATTTGCATTAATGAGAAATTGAAATGAGAAATCCTAATAATCCTTTGGTGAGTGTATATTTGTGCAACACCTCCTCTCTATCTCTCCTCTTTGTCGGATCACGGGGGGGGTTGTTGGAAAGTTGATGAAACGTGTGACAGTGTCTGGAGCTGAAAGTGGCATAATTGTTTCCATGACAATTCGGCTGATTGTCACGGGCCAAAATCATCAGCATTGATGCATTTTTCCTGTGACAAATAAACAAAGCGTCATCACAACCTTCAGTTTAGATGAAAACGTAGCCTATTGCTGCGTAAAGTCAGTGGTTAGTTGACGTCCCTCACCAACTCGCTGACAAAGGTTATGCCTGCACTGTGTGACCCCAACTGATCAAGTGCGCGTCGTCAAATAATTTAGAAACATTCTTCTTCTCCTGAAATATTCGTGCATGTCTCTGTCTCCACAGTGCTATCACCCCTACTGGCAACTCCTAACCACTTGAGAGACCTCTGGAGCTGTCTTAACTGGGAGAGTAAGTTTGTTTATTAGCTTTTAGAAATTTGAAGAAACTTGCTTTTATTCTGAAGTTTGAAAGCAGGAGTACATCTCATGAATTCTCAGCACTTAAGACGAATATGGCACTTGATAAATACCGGCCCTGTTTCATAATAGTCTGGAGAGACTTACCTTAGAGTGTGACCTGCGGTCAGCATAGCAGGCCCACAGCAGAGTGACCAGGTAGAGGCCGAAGAAAGCGCACAGCAGTGCCAGCACCACATAGTTCTGAGACACAGTGGCAAACAACTCTGCTGTTCGAGATAGGTCCACTTTGTTCGGCATCACAAAGAAGGAGCTCCCAAAGAGAGTCAAGTGGTTACAAAGACACTGTGTTTGCTCTGGAGTGCTTTTCTCTCCCACCTGAGACAAAGACAGCACATCACTGTCTGATATACAACAACTACTAAACAGTAATTAAGTACATTTACTCTGTACTTAATTACAAATTTGAGGTACTTGTGCTTTCCTTGAGTTTTTTCTTTTCATATCACTTTCTACTTCTATTCTAACACATCTTAGCAGGAGATATTGCACTTTTCAATTTACTACATTTATTTGACTGCTTTAGTTACTTGTACTTTTCATATTTTGTTATAAACTACCAAAAATTTAAGAACAGCTGACACGATTATTAGATTGACACTGACATTAACTGCCAAAAAGTTTAAATGTTAGAGAAATTTTTCGTGTAAAAAACATTTCATGGTTCCACTTTCACTAATGTGAAGATTTGCTGTTTTTCCTTTTAAATTATTTTAATTAGTTTGTAATAATTTTGATCTTTGTAATTTTGGTTAGATAAAGCAAGCATTCTAAATGTGTCACTTTGGGCTCTGGGTAATTATGATGGCATTTCTCCCTATTTTTAAATTTTCAATAATAGCTTAAAGGAGAAAATAATCAGCACATTAATCCATAAGAAAAATAATCATTATTTGCCCTCCGAAACAAATAGTTAATTGTTAAGCTCCCCCTCAACAATTACAACAGTAAAGTCCTGCGTTTACATTAATGCACTGGAGTAATAATAATAATCTAATACATAATAGTATAACAGTCACAGGACAGTATTCTTTTTGCAATAAGAACTTTTACTTTTAATACTTATAGTACATTTTCCAAATTATACTGACTTTAGTAACATTTTCACTGCAGGACATTTTTGGCTAGTGTATTTTTAAATTCTGTTTGTCATGTCAGGAACGTCTGACAAACATAACCATACTACTTTATTTTATCTACTAGTCTAAGTAGATATAATAAGTCTAATAGTCTAATAGTTAAAAATACTAAAAGTATCAAAAGTAAAAAGTTACTTTTGATACTTTTAGTATTTTTAACTATTAGACTTCACTTTTAATGGAGCAAGGGTATCTTTACTTTTACTCAAGTACAGGATTTGTGGATTTCATCCACCACTGCTACTAGAACTGTACATGCAGAGTCAAAACAATACAGCCAAATTAATCCAGTTGGAAACTCACCTTGCAGCCATCAGTGCTCCATGTATCCCTGTCTGTGTTCCAGTACAAGCACTTGCTCATAAAAGAAGTGATGATCAGTGTCAGGCCCGGCTTCCAGGTGGAATTGAGTGTGATGTTAACATACCAGACACCAGGGGTCTGCTGTAACATCTCTGGGGTTATCATATAGCGATAGTCTCCTGTTGCAAAAATCAACTAACATGAGTTCATAATCCAAAATCAATTAAAATAAAACAAATGAAACCCTTTTTCCATCTGATTTTATATTTTTAGATGTATTATAACACAAGTAAAACAAATAATGCTAAATTCGTTTGGTTCTATTTTGTGTTGTTATTATGCTTACCTGGGCAACAGTGATCCTATTGCTACACACTGTTACATTAGATGACTAAAAACAACAGAAATCAGAGGTAAGGGTATGAAGTAATATGTCAATGCCTGCTTGCAGCGGCAGTTACCTATTTGTGTCAAGGTGGTATTGGTGGTTCTGCGGCCTGAATATGAACCATTAGGTGACCCTTTAGACAGCACTAGAACTAAAGACACATTGGCACTGGGCATCACGCTGAAGAAGATGGTCACATTAGGGTCTGAGACTTCGAAGATGGTTATCGCTTTTGTGTCTTTCTCCAACACAACAGTAGTGTTCAGCGGTGTGGATGCATTTGGCTGAGGCAAATAGATCTGGAGAAACAAGAGAAAGCAATGTATTACTACTATTAAAATCAAACTTATGGACATAATTGCCCAATTAATGTGTGGTATTTTCCCCTTGCCAATAAAGTTGGTAGATTAAATTTTTTGCTCAAAAATGTGGGAAAGATGAGGAGACGGACTATTTAATGAGTCTTGCCCTTGATATATTTTATATCTTAAAATTGCATTTACTTTATGTAATATAACATAATCTTGTGGTAGATATGAAGGTTAAACTTTTTGATTATGTAAGTTTTACAATATAAAAATTGTATTTGTATTTTATTAAAGTTTTATATAAACATCGTCACATTAACAAATCAGATGACTTCTATATATATCATCATAATAATAATAACATACAAATCAGATGTATATTCCTACAGTAACATGCACCATCATCTAATTAACAAGCAACAGATTAATTCTCAGACACATGCACATGGTGTGTAGGTAATTGTTGGACTTGTTGGCATATTTATTTGCAAGACACAACAATAAAAAGCCTCTTCGTTTTCTTCTCAGTTGTAGTCACCACCTTTTCTCCCCATTTTGGATGGGTTAGCTCTCCTTTTTGTGGTCCTTCTCACTGCTAATCCACTGTCGATCTGGGAAGGGTGCGCACAGTGATACAAATACAATACCCAATTCTCAGGTTGGCTGTACCTCTATCATCTCTGTCAGGTTTGCCAGCTTTATATCTGAGACTCCATCACTAAGTATAAGGCTGCAAACAATTCCTGAAACGTTGTCTGACGGATGGGATTCACCAAGAATGTAGACATCTAAGAATTAGAAAAGCTCTGTTAAAAAGGCTGCAACAAAGATGCAAAACACACACATGATGATGGGACATACTGACCTGAGAGATGATTGCACTATACCCTCCAAGCTGAGACTGAATGCTGAATATGAGGGGAGTCTGATGAACGTCCCATCTTTCTCTGACCCGAGCACTACATTGCTGATTTCAGCAGGTTTAGAACTGGGGGAGGGGGGGGGGGGTTAGAACACATTGCATAACTGTTTAAAATTTTTTGCCACATTTATATGGTTAAAATTAAAGAAAAGTTGCAACAGAAGAAATATCGGGTGAGTGAAAGTCTAATACTGACCTGTTTTGATAGATGGTGCCTGATGGGTACCTGATGATAAACTGCTGTGTACCATTAGCGCGACCCAATAGCAAGGAGATTGTCCTAAAGATCTCAAAGATGTCCTCAAACAAATCCTAGAGAGGGAAAAAAGAATGCACCATCACCTGACTATGATAGCCATAATGTGTATGATTGCTTAAAGCTGTCAGTCACACATTCCTTTGAACTTACAGTAGGGTTTGGGTTAGTCTGGATGTCACATTTTCTCACTGAGAGAATGTTAATGGCAGTGCTACAGCTGATGATGTGACTGATAATGTCGCTGTTTTGGATAGCAAATTGTGGTGTCAGAGCTTTAGTGCCTTCCAATAAATACCTAATGAAGTTGTCCTGTAAAAGGGAAAACAGACAGCATTTAATGTGCCGTGACAATTACCAAAATGGAATACTTTCCACAAGCTTTCCAAAGTGAAGGTACCCACCCTGCTTTCAGCAGTCGGCTCCCCTTCTGTTGTTCCATTCGCAGCAGTTCTTTATCCGCTGCCTGTCTCAAAAAAACAGCACTTGTGAACTTTGAGGTATAATTAACAAAAGGCCAATCACTGTACCATTCAGTGAGCTTCATGATTCACAGGTCACTCTGTGTGTAAAATAAATCCTCACCTGGAGAAGGTCGACAATATTTCTAACAGACGAGCCCATGTCAGTTGAATCCCTTTTGAGCCCTGAAATCAGAGTTTGTGTGTGTGTGTGTGTGTGTGTGTGTGTGTGTGTGTGTGTGTGTGTGTGTGTGTGTGTGTGTGTGTGAGAGGAAGAGAAAGAAAGAGAGGCAAATACACAAATTCAGTTGAATGACTTTCTTGGTTGATTGAAATAATGCGACACATAACGTTTCAATCTAACTTACGGGATCTGGCTGCATGACTGGATGCCATTGTCTTCTGCAAAGAAAACATGAACAAACTAACAAATTCAGTCTGGGTGTTTACATGGCTTCTTACTGACTCTGAAATGTGACTCTTACCTTTGTGTTTGATGATGACCGCAAATCTTTAAAAACAAGAAGGACACTTTTACAACGACATGTTGCAAATAAAATGCATATTCATTTAAAAAAAGAAATCAGCAAGACAGAAAGGAAAAACACTTAAAGGAAGAATGAATGGAGTTTAAGCAGTAATTAGGAAGCTGTTGTTGCATACTGTGGGTGCAGAGGAAGCCTCGTCTCTGGTTGCAGTCAGATGTGATGAGATGAAGAGGATTCAGCTTCATGTATGTGCAGTTGTCCTTTGAGATGTCAACATTTTCTGCTTTAGAAAGAACACACACAGACACACCATTAGGAAAAGCCAGTGAAGACAAAAACCATTAGGGCTGCCACTATTAATTAATCTGTCCGATATTTTTCAGACTAATTAAAGTGTCAAATACATCAAGTTCACAGAGCCCAGTGTGAAGTATTCATATTGCTTGTTTTGTCTAATTAACAATCCAAAACCAAAATATAGTTATTTTTAATATTGACCAAATGTATCAATTATCAACATTGTTGTCCATTAATTTTCGGTTGATGGCTCCAGAAATGAACAACACACACAAAAGATAACAAGTGAAAACTTATACAGACAGCTTTAAAGGTGTGAGTGCTTCAGTGACATAAAAACAAAAACTTGACAACTCACAAAATGTCAAGGAGGGGGTAAACAATATCTTTCAGTCAAAAGTGCCTCAACTCAAGCCAATCTCAACAGCTTTGAACAGAATCAGATGAAACTTTTATTGAAGGAGGTTGCCTATGATCTAAATATTTTGTACAGTAATTTCATGCCGCAATTAGTACGTTATGGTAAATATATCTAATTTATTTTACTAATTTCTAAATATGTCAAGTACTGACTTTGTATTGTTTATTGTTTAATTGTTGTTTGAGAAAATATCTTCTGATTTGACTTGATACCATACACACACACACACTCACACACACACACAGAGTTGATATTTAGATTGTGTTGGTACCTTCAATAAAAGATTTCAGTTGAAACCCAGCCTTAGTCAATGCATGCAAAGTGAGTTGAATTTTGTTGTACTGTGAAATAATTTCTAATGTGTGCCCTTTTCTCTTTAAAATGTTGAATATCCTTTGGTCACAAAGCCTGCCGCTCTGCATGTAAACCTTTGACGGAGGGTCTTAAATAGACACTGCCTGATTTTAAGGATCAAGCCAAAAGCACAATAAATTACAAAAATAAAAATACATAAACAAAATAAATGCTGTGTGTGCGCATTTTACTCACTTATGGCGGGTCCCTGGTACAGCCCTTGGACCCCCTTTCCCAGCCACCAGGTGAAGTTGCTGGTGTTTCTCTCTCCGTTGATGTTCTTCAGGAAGATTTTGATTGGGATGGTCATCGCCTTCAGGAGTTCCCCTCCTTGCTTTTCACAGCTGCTCTCAGCTTGGGACCAGGTTTTGGATCCCCCAACAAACTCATAACAGACATTTTTGAAAACAAATTCACACAACGCAGGGGAGTTGTTGCCTGAACAGGCCTCAGACTTTTCCGGGAAAGATAGAAATCCAACTGAAATCCAAAAAAAGACAGCAATTTGGAGTAACATGCCCATAGTTACTATAATGCACAGAGCTAAAGCACATAGTGCTGCAGAAACTGCGGCAAGAACAGCAACTGAGCAAGATAACTTCTGTCACTCACATGGAAATTCGGGAGCTTTCCCCAGAAAAATTCTGCATATGTTCTCAATAAATTAGGAAAATCACTGCAGACACTCAAACAAGATGCAAAGTCAAGGAGTCACTTGGCATCAGTGAAGGTCACACAAGCTGATCCTTCCATCTGCTGCTGACCAAGGACAGGTTTCAACTTTCACTTTGCTTTTAACATGTAAAACGTTGCCTACATTATTATCATGCATGCATTATAATAATACATTCTTAAAAATAAGTATCTTTTTCTTAAGTCAAATCATCCTGAATGTCCACGCTCTTGAGAAGTGCCTTAATTTAATTTAATTTGATGGTAAACATCCCTGGATCTCCTCCACCTCCCCGTGGTGGAGATATCGCGAGAGGATGTGGAGGAAGCTGTGTCCACGTGTGGTTTGTGTAACGTGAGGAAATGCATTCAGTGCCCTTAACGCAATGACAGAACCGCGTCCATGGCGGGACATGTGAAGGTAAATTAAGAGACGAATGTTTTTTGTTTTTGGCAGAATCAATTAAATCGAAACGTCGCCACGAAACTTTATGTTGTGTTCCTGATTGCTAGCTCGGGTGATCCGCCTAAAAGTAGCGTTAGAGCAGGAAACACTCCAGGTTAGCGTTGCAGCGTCCTTGCATATCACCACAGAAACACATGTAGTGGTGGTGTCTTTGCTATTATTTGCTTTCCCTTTGATTAAACTAGGGTGGTTATTGGAAGAAAATTGCCTAAATGTTAAGGTTCATGTTTTTGGGATGCTTAGTTTTCAGCTATAACACACAGACTAACGTTATAGTCCCCTCCAGAGGAGGTTACCTCTAATCAGATATCAGGACGACAGCTGATTTGTTACTGAGAGAAAATCAGTTTCCATAAACTGTTTTCATTCAGCTAATAGCAGGCAGTGGTGGAAAGTAACCAAGTAAATTTACTTAATTACTGTTACGTTACAATTCTGAGGTTTTTGTACTCTACTTAAGTAAATCCAATTTATGCGATTTTATACCTACTGCACTATATTTCATGGGGAAATGTGCATGTACTGTTAATGTACTTTTTACTTTACTCCCTTTTCTTTAACTGCTACAGTAACTAACGTTAGCTACTTTGATTTTTACATAGAAAACTTACCATCAAGTTATTAGACTTCTCTCCATTTCAAATTTCACAGCACTGTACACATAAGACAGCACACAGTAACAAGATACAAAGACAACAGTACACACAGGCCAGTTCAGTGAGGCCAATTATTTAAGGCGGCTATGGCTGTGGGGATTAGACTTTTCCCAAAGGGAGCCCTTCTGGAGCTCAGTGCTCTGTTCCTCCACTAGAGTAAGATGGTGATTGAGTGGGTGTGTGATGTCCTGTATTACTGAGGTTGCAAGGCGTGCAGTGCAGCCTTATCGTTCAGTTCTGTGAGGTTGGATGTGGGGAAACCAATTATCCTGGCGGCTGTGTTGTTTGTTGTCACAAACTGCCTTGGGATGTGCAGGAGGACTTTGCCATGGGCTATTAAAAACCACTCAGAGATCATTGGTACTCATCTACCGAGCATCAGCAATATCTGTTCACCCTGCTGCCGTCTGGCCAGAGATACAGAAGTATCCGCTGTCATACCACCAGACTTCAGAGCAGCTTCTTCCCTCAGGCTGTGAGACTCCTCAGTTCATCTTCAGTACTGCACCATGTAAACATATTATAGTCACCCATCTACTGTATATCATTTTTGTATATTATGTTTTTGTGAGTAGCATAAAGACAGCTACAACTTTATCTTGTTATACAACCCTTTGTTGTAAAATGATGTAAATAAATCCTTGTACTTTGAGTTTGGCCCGATGAGTAACAGATAACATGTTAAAGAAGCAGAACAATAGGATGGGTTGAATAATACTCTGTAGAAGGAGATGGAGATAGGATAGAGTCCTATAAGCTTGCGGATGAATTTGTTTTTCTTTGTGTTTTTGCATGTCACAAGTGTGTTGCTCAGCCATTTTAACTGTTTGGTTATTGATGACAATGGGATGATAAGGTGAGGAGGGATCAGTTATTATTTCCTATTAAATATGACCACAGACCCTCACAGGTTTTTTTACTTACAGTATGTGTCTGATCGCTATGCTGGGTTTTCCCTGAGGTCATCATGTACTTATAAGAGTAAAAAAGATAAACATGAGATCCCCTTAAGTCAACATATATTTTTTATCTTGCTGCACAAAG